ATTACTTATTTTAGTCCCTTATATATTTTCTCCTTTATTTTTAGCTTTACATAACAACCTTAGTTCATATATTCACAATTGTTAAAATAATCAAGGTGCTATTCTCAGGTGGCAAAGTGTAATAAGTTCACAATTTTGCCATTATATTCCAAAGTTCATTTATTTGATTACCACTTTATTGTTCACCACAACTTATATTAGTCCCTTTTATATTGTTTTCCCTAATTCTAACTTTAAAGAATTACCTTTAAAGTACTACCTACTATCATATTCCCAAGCTCCATTATTTGATCATCACTTTATTTCTTCACCACAAATTATTTTAGTCCCTTTTATATTGTCTCCTTTATTTTAGCTTTAAAAACTACCTTAGCTCATTTTTTTATTACATTTGTTAAATAACTCAGGTGCTATTTTTTAGCTTTAGAATATTTGTTTTATACTTAATTCTAACTATAGATTCACTACAAATCTTATGATTACAAGCATTGATCCTGATACCAACCTCTTATTTAATGACTTAAATGAATCAAACAGTTACTGTAATTACTACACAGCAGAACAATCAAAGGCACTTCTCCGAGCCAACAACAACATAACTATCTTTAACTACAATATCAGATCCTTAAGCAAGCATTACGATGACCTCATAGCATTACTAAATTCCTTGCATGCCAAAGCCTGATACTACTGATGTCTATGCCATTCCTGGTTACACAGCCATACACAACTGTAGGCCAGACCAACAAGGGGGTGGCACAGCTATATACTACTCAGACCAACTAGAATGTATCACTAATACTTGCACAAGGGATGAACATGGGGAATATATAATAGCTAAATTCAAATCCAAGTGCCTACAAAAACCTCTCACGTTGATAACCATTTACAGAGTTCCACAGTCAAACATTAGCCAATTTAGTCAAAACCTAGGAAGTATGATAACTGATGCACGCATGAACAAAGATCACTTGCTACTCTCAGGTGACTTCAATATAAATCTCCTACAAGACCAGGACCCACATGTTACTGAATTCACAAACACAATGAGTAACTATGTTGCTACCAACAGTAACAAAACCTACAAGAGTTACAGAGACTAGTGGTTTCCCTACTTGACCACATCTGGACCAACACCATATCCCCCTTAAAATCAGGCATAATCACAGATAATACCACAGACCACTACCCTACTTTCCTCATAACAACTCTTGGTAAATTACCCCAAGACACTACTAAAGTCACCTTCAGACTTCACAATGAGGCAGCCATTAATAACTTCACAACAGCAGTAACAAACATTGACTGGCACACTGAGCTAGAAATCTATACAGACATTGACGAATGTATTAATAATTTTCTAAAAAAGACCCAATACCTCTATAACAAGCACTGCCCTAAAAAAAACTAACCAGATGACAGCTAAAAGACTGAACAGTCCCTGGCTAACACCCAGCATTCTCAAATCCATAAATACAAAACACCTATATGAAAAACAGTACAGAATGGGTCACATAACCAGAGACCAAACAAAACGTTACTCGTCAATCCTAACCAGCCTGATAAGAAGGGCAAAAAAATTGTATTATGAGAACAGATTATCCAACTTATGAGGTGACATAAAAAAGACCTGGAAAACCCTATCAGAAATTCTAGGAACAAAAAGATAACACGAAATAGCGAAATTTAAATTAACAAAAAAATAAAACCCCAACCCCAAACAGAAACAGCAAACAACTCAATGATTTCTTCTCCACTATGGGAAAAAACCCTTCCCAAAAAACCCCAAGCACAGATACCCCCCAAATGACTACCTCACTGGCAACTACCCGAACACACTGTTCCTAGCTCCGACTAACCCACATGAAGTCTCCCTTATTATCAAACACACTAAAAACAAGACAGGAGATCTAAATACCTTACCACCCTTTATATACAAAAAAGTGTCACAAGTGCTATCACCAATCATTGCAACACTCTTAACAAATCCATTGAATCCTCACCTTCCCTACAGTTCTCAAAATAGCAAGGGTCCCCCAATCCAAAAAGGGAGGAGACCAAACGAGTTGAATAACTAGGCCAATATCCAACTTACACCCTCTCTCAAAAATCTTCGAAAAATTAATTTATAAACGATCTACTCCTACTCATCTCCCAAAACATACTCAACCCCTGCCAATTTGGTTTCAGGCCTAATAAAAAAAACAAATATCTAGAACATATATACACTGCAATAGAACCCAAAGGAAACCACTGGGGATCTTCATTGACTTCGAAAAGCTTGATACAGTTGACCATGACTTGCCCACATAAAATGTCCCCATATGGTATAAAGGCATCCCTCAACTTCCTCAATCATACTCAGCAACAGAAGCCATATGTGTACACAAATGGGGCAAACTCTTTTCCCCACAACCAATTACAGTTGGTGTCCCCACAGGGAACGTCCTGGCCCCCTCTCTTTCTCCTATACATAAATGACCTGCCAAAAAGCTTTGCAATACTCAAACCCCACTATTTGCAGAGACCCCTACATACGCTTCTCTCACCCCCCAGCCCAGTCAAGCTAGCCATACTGTAAATGCCGAATTACGAAAATAATCAACCTGGATGAGGACTAACAAACTTACACTAAACATGACAAAAACCCCTTCATTCAGTTTGGAAACAAGCTGCAGATTCCCTCTACATTCTGATAAACGATCACCCATCACAAAGCTAACAGAGGGAAAAATTTTAGGAATCCACCTTATAATTAACTCAAATTTCATACACATATACAACAAATTTCTAAGAAAATTTCCAAGACCCGTAGGCAACTATCAAGATACGGGCTATGTTCCACCATCACACTCCTGGCCCTGTATCACTCTCTTATTTACCCCTATCTCACCTATGGAATTTGTGCATGGGGCTCAACAACAATTAACCACCTCAGACCACTAATTATCCAACAAAAGCTGCAGTCAGAATGATAACAAATTCCCACTACAGGCAGCACACTCCACCAATATTCAAAACACTTAACCTACTCACCATACAAAAACATCCATACTTATTACTGCACCTATTACATACTTTAGAACCTTAACTCTGATATTAACCCTCCCCTCAAACATCTGCTTGCCAACCTCAACAGAACTCATGACCATAACACAAGACACAGATCACTCTCTGATGTTCCTCGTGCCATCTTACGCTATGCAAAAACTCAATGCACAAAAAAAGCCCTAAAATCGGAATTCATTACCTGTAATATAAAAGAAACACTACCTGTTTATAATTCAAGTCTCTTCTCAAAAAATCACTACTCACCCAAAAACTAAATAAATACTGAATAACTGAACCTTATAAATTGTTTTATCCTAAATGTTTCTCACAATTATATCACATAAATTTTAAAAACCTAAGACCCAATCTAACTTTGTTATTTTTTAAATACACTTCCTAACAGAATACTCCATTCTACTGAATGTACAGCAATGCATGCAACCATATGACCTGTCTTTGTAATACTCATTTGTGCTTTATTGTTATCTGTTTACAATAATGTTTTATCACTGATTACATCTTTGCTTAGTTAATCTTAAGTTAATTTTAAGCCTGCCCGTAATGCTATGCATATAAGTGGCTTTGGCATGCTGCTCTTACCTGTATTTTTTTGTACCTCTGTATGTATGCTACAAATTATAAAATAAAATAAATAAATAAAATAAATAAATAAAATAAATAAATAAAATATGACATCTAAGTGGTTATACACAACATGTACTGAGTACAAAGTTAAAGATTTATTCCACAATGTTTGTAGAGATGCGTGACATTTGGTTGTGAATGCAGAAAGTCCATGATTATTCAGAGAATTTTGGGCAAACTTAAGCCTAACTTAAGACTACAATGGCAATAATTATTATTTGCTTACATTTATGGACACTGAAGGTATAGAGACAACAAATTTAGGCATTATAAATAGAACCAACAAGCAGACAACTATTTCTTTAAAGTTGAATTATGATTAAAAGTAGTTAGAATAAGTCCTTGCTTGATTGGTAGTGCACTCAGTTCGCACACTGAGGTCTGTGGTTTGATCCCCAGTACGGGTGGAAACATTAGGACGCGTTTCCTCACGACACCTCTGTCCCTGTTCACCTAGCAGTAAAATGGGTAACTGGGTGGTAATTGACTGGTGTGGGTCGCATTCTGGGGACAAAACTGACCTAATTTGCCTGAAATGCGCTGCATAACCAGGGGATTTTTATGTAGTAGTATGTCACTGATGTTAGCTATGGTCTGTATAAGTTGTACATGTACTTGTAGAGATAAATTATTATTATTATTATTAATGAATGATGTTAATTTAGATATGCTTCTTATGCTGACTATATTTTTTTTCACCACACTGGCCATATCCCACTGAGGCAGGGTGACCTAAAAAGAAAAACAAAAGTTTTCCTCTACATTTAGTAATGTATACAAGAGTAGGGGTTACTAGCTCCATGCTCCCGGCATTTTTGTTGCCACTTACAACAAGCATGGCTTACAGAGATAAAAGGAAATAAAGAAGAACAAGAATTATTAAGAAAACAGAAAAAACTCATACAAGTGTGTATACATATGTGTATACGTATATGCATGTTGAGTGTGGCTTAAGTGTAAGTAGAAGTAGCAAGATATATCTGTTATCCTGTGCATTTATGAGACAGAAAAAAGACACCAGCAATCCTACCATCATGTAAAACAATTACAGGTTTCCATTTCACACTCACTTGGCAGGACGGTGGTACCTCCGTGGGTGGTTGCTGTCTACCAACTACTACCACGGACAGTAGTACCTCCCTGGGTGGCTGCTGTCTACCAACCTACTACCACAGGACTATAGTATATGTAAACACTAATAGATGACTGATGTAGTGATAGCCAACTCATGGTCTTTAAGCTAAATGGAAAAAAACACATAAAATAATTAAATACTACAAAAAAAAAAAAGTCAGATTTATTACCTGAGAAAGTCCAATTTTTAAAACCATATTCCATAATACTTCGGAAAGTTGACCGTGAGCCAGCGATAAAGCCCAGAGCCGGAGATAAGAAGCTGTATGGGATACAGACCCCAATACATATTCAATGGTGTGAATAGCTTGTTCGATGAATACTTCACTCAGCTCAAATTCCTCTTCTGTGCCATGGGCGTGAGATGTATCACTCTATTAAAAAAAATGCATGTAACTCCTTCCAAAAATTATCTAATGAAATATATAGTATAGTTAAATATCTTCATTATGCAACCCATACCAGTTTTTTTTTTTTTTAATATAACTGCTGTCTCCCACTGAGGCAGGGTGACCCAAAAAAGAAAAACAAAGTTTTCTTTTTAATTTTAGTAATGTATACAGGAGAAAAGGTTACTAGCCCCTTGCTCCTGGCATTTTAGTTGCCTCTAAGACATGCATGGCTTACAGAGGACTGATTCTTCTTCACTTCCCCATGGACTTACCAATATATATATCTTTTTTTTTTTTTTTTTCAACAAGTCGGCCGTCTCCCACCGAGGCAGGGTGACTATATACTATATATATAAATTTCCTCCATGGGGAAGTGGAACAGAATTCTTCCTCCGTAAGCCATGCGTGTCGTAAGAGGCGACTAAAATGCCGGGAGCAAGGGGCTAGTAACCCCTTCTCCTGTATATATTACTAAATTTAAAAGGAGAAACTTTTGTTTTTCCTTTTGGGCCACCCCGCCTCAGTGAGATACGGCTGGTGCGTTGAAAGAAGAAGAATATATAAATTTAATGATTAGTCACTTATTTTAATTACTTTTATGTATAAAAAATCAGAAATATATTTACATTAACCACCTTAACCCTCTGACTGTTTCGGTCATATATATACGTCTTACAAGCCACAGTACTTGACGTATATATACTCATAAATTCTAGTGGCTTCAAATCAAGCAAAAGAAAGCTGGTAGCCCCCACATGTGAGAAAATGGGTCAGTGTGCATGATATAAAAAAAATCCCGCAGCACGCATTGCATAATGAGAAAAAAACTGACCGTTTTTTTTTTTAATTAAAATGCCAACTTTGTGGTCTGTTTTCATTTAGTATTTATGGTCGTATTCTTGTTTTCTTGGTCTCATTTGATAGATTGGAAAACATATAGAGATAGAGGTGATTTTCATAGGTCTTACTATGAAAAAAAACCTTGAAATGGAGCTCAAAGTAGGGGAAATGTTTGATTTTTGCCGATGTTCAAAAGTAAACAAATGAGGTAATTTTCCAATAAATGTCCAAATAGCCATTCTAATATGCAGTCATGAATGGGTTGACATTATTTATACAATTATTACAGTATTGCAGTAGTCTGCATAACAGTAAATTTTCTATTTTTTGTTGGATTAAAAATTCAAAATAGAAAGCAAGAGTAATATCAGAGGGGCCTGAAGACATGACTGATGAACAAAGAAAATGTTATTTTAGAGCCAGGAATGTCTGCATTGTTCATTCTGGACCCTATTTTGAAATTGTTATATTTTTTAATTTTCGTGACATTGGCCAAATTGCAAATTTCTGACCACGTTATTCGGTAGTTGAAATCGGTAAATGGGCAGTTTCTTGTACTCAATCAATAGAAAAAAATGGAGTTCTAAAGAAATAGCTATGAGTTTGGTTGACTGGAATAATGGAATTAGCCGAAAATAGGGCTCAAAGTGGGCGAAATAACCGATTCGTAAATATCGCTGAGGTCGCTAAATTCGCGAGAGCGTAATTCTGTCAGTTTTCCATCAAATTTTGTTCTTCTGGTGTCATTACAATCGGGAAAAGATTCTCTATCATTTCATGAGAAAAAATAATTTTATTTTTCGGAAATTTTGCGACACCAGGAGACACCTCAGGATTTGGGGTTGCGACAGTCAAGGGGTTAAGTTATGTAGAAATATTTCCAAAACAAACTAACAAACTCAACTAAGAATCCTCACCATCAATTCGACCTGATCGTGATGTGCCTTTCTGGCTTTGTGTCGGCTGTTGAGTATCAGCGGCTTAGGGAAGAGCATAAGAGGAACACAGATGACACACACTATCACAAGTACCATCTGTATTATGTACTGTCCGTCAAACATCCAAAGCTCACAGGACACAGGAGGCTGTAAAATAAGGAAAAATATTACTATATTTTTGTTTCCACATCAGCAGTTTCCCACCAAGATATGATGGCTCGGAAAGGAAAGCACATCATATTTTATATATACCTGTGCAGTTTTTTCAACTCACCGGCCGTCTCCCACCAAGGCAAGGTGACCTACAAAGAAAAATGAGAGTTTTTCTTTTTACACACAGTCATTTATACAAGAGAAGGGGTTACTAGCCCCTTGCTCCCAGCATTTTAGTCACCTCTTATGACACACATGGCTTACGCAGGAAGGATTGTTTTCCACTTCCCCATGGAGACCTGTACAGTATTTTTTTTTTTCAACAAGTCGGACGTCTCCCACCGAGGCAGGGTGACCCAAAGAAGAAAGAAAATCCCCAAATAGAAAATACTTTCATCATCATTCAACACTTTCACCTCACTCACACATAATCACTGTTTTTGCAGAGGTGCTCAGAATACAACAGTTTAGAAGCATATACATATGAAGATACACAACATATCCCTCCAAACTGCCAATATCCCAAACCCCTCCTTTAAAGTGCAGGCATTGTACTTCCCATTTCCAGGACTCAAGTCTGGCAATATAAAAATAACTGGTTTCCCTGAATCCCTTCACTAAATATTGCCCTGCTCACACTCCAACAGCTCGTCAGGTCCCAAATACCATTCTTCTCCATTCACTCCTATTTAACACGCTCTTGCACGCATATATATTTAAACATGGAAGATAGCTAAAATAGCAAGAATGCTGCTATATCAGATGAAGTAAGACGAAATAATTAATAAAATAATGAGGACTAAATGCCGGGAACAATGGGCTAGTAACCCCTTTTCCTGTAAAGATTACTAAAAAGAATAAGAAGAAGAAAATTGTCAAAGTGGGAAGTCTGAATGTGCGTGGATGTTGTGCAGATGATAAGAAAGAGATGATTGTGGATGTTATGAATGAGAATTATTATTATTATTATAATCAAAAAGAAGCGCTAAGCCACAAGGACTATACAGTGCTGCAGGGCAGGAAGGAAGCGAGGGCATCAGGTGGCAAAAGGGAGATGGATGAGTAATAAGAAGCTGGATGTCCTGGCTTTAAGTGAAACAAAGCTGAAGGGGGTGGGAGAGTTTCAGTGGAGAGGAATAAATGGGATTAGGTCAGGGGTTTCAAATAGAGTTAGAGCTAAAGAAGGAGTAGCAATAATGTTGAAGGATAAGCTATGGCAGGAAAAGAGGGACTATAAATGTATTAATTCAAGGATTATGTGGAGTAAAATAAAGATTGGATGTGAAAAGTGGGTTATAATAAGCATGTATGCACCTGGAGAAGAGAGAAGTGTAGAGGAGAGAGAGAGAGATTTTGGGAAATGTTGAGTGAATGTGTGGGGAGTTTTGAATCAAGTGTGAGAGTAATGGTGGTTGGGGATTTCAATGCTAAAGTGGGTAAAAATGTTATGGAGGGAGTAGTAGGTAAATTTGGGGTGCCAGGGGTAAATGTAAATGGGGAGCCTTTAATTGAGCTATGTGTAGAAAGAGATTTGGTAATAAGTAATACATATTTTATGAAAAAGAGGATAAATAAATATACAAAGTAAGATGTAGCACGTAATGAAAGTAGTTTATTAGATTATGTATTGGTGGATAAAAGGTTGATGGGCAGGCTCCAGGATGTACATGTTTATAGAGGGGCAACTGATATATCGGATCATTATTTAGTTGTAGCTACAGTTAGAGTAAGAGGTAGATGGGAAAAGAGGAAGGTGGCAACAACAAGTAAGAGGGAGGTGAAAGTGTATAAACTAAGGGAGGAGGAAGTTCGGGTGAGATATAAGCGACTATTGGCAGAAAGGTGGGCTAGTGCAAAGATGAGTAGTGGGGGGGTTGAAGAGGGTTGGAATAGTTTTAAAAATGCAGTATTAGAATGTGGGGCAGAAGTTTGTGGTTAAAGGAGGGTGGGGGCAGGAGGAAAGAGGAGTGATTGGTGGAATGATGAAGTAAAGGGTGTGATAAAAGAGAAAAAGGTAGCTTATGAGAGGTTTTTACAAAGCAGAAGTGTTATAAGAAGAGCAGAGTATATGGAGAGTAAAAGAAAGGTAAAGAGAGTGGTGAGAGAGTGCAAGAGGAGAGCAGATGATAGAGTGGGAGAGGCACTGTCAAGAAATTTTAATGAAAATAAGAAAAAATTTTGGAGTGAGTTAAACAAGTTAAGAAAGCCTAGGGAAAGTATGGATTTGTCAGTTAAAAACAGTAGGGGAGTTAGTAGATGGGGAGATGGAGGTATTAGGTAGATGGCGAGAATATTTTGAGGAACTTTTAAATGTTAAGGAAGAAACAGAGGCAGTAATTTCATGCACTGGTCAGGGAGGTATACCATCTTTTAGGAGTGAAGAAGAGCAGAATGTAAGTGTGGGGGAGGTACGTGAAGCATTACGTAAAATGAAAGGGGGTAAAGCAGCTGGAACTGATGGGATCATGACAGAAATGTTAAAAGCAGGGGGGGATATAGTGTTGGAGTGGTTGGTACTTTTGTTTAATAAATGTATGAAAGAGGGGAAGGTACCTAGGGATTGGCGGAGAGCATGTATAGTCCCTTTATATAAAGGGAAAGGGGACAAAAGAGACTGTAAAAATTATAGAGGAATAAGCTTACTGAGTATACCAGGAAAAGTGTACGGTAGGGTTATAACTGAAAGAATTAGAGGTAAGACAGAATGTAGGATTGCGAATGAGCAAGGAGGTTTCAGAGTGGGTAGGGGATGTGTAGATCAAGTGTTTACATTGAAGCATATATGTGAACAGTATTTAGATAAAGGTAGGGAAGTTTTTATTGCATTTATGGATTTAGAAAAAGCATATGATAGAGTGGATAGAGGAGCAATGTGGCAGATGTTGCAAGTATATGGAATAGGTGGTAAGTTATTAAATGCTGTAAAGAGTTTTTATGAGGATAGTGAGGCTCAGGTTAGGGTGTGTAGAAGAGAGGGAGACTACTTCCCGGTAAAAGTAGGTCTTAGACAGGGATGTGTAATGTCGCCATGGTTGTTTAATATATTTATAGATGGGGTTGTAAAGGAAGTAAATGCTAGGGTGTTTGGGAGAGGGGTGGGATTAAATTTTGGGGAATCAAATTCAAAATGGGAATTGACACAGTTACTTTTTGCTGATGATACTGTGCTTATGGGAGATTCTAAAGAAAAATTGCAAAGGTTAGTGGATGAGTTTGGGAATGTGTGTAAAGGTAGAAAGTTGAAAGTGAACATAGAAAAGAGTAAGGTGATGAGGGTGTCAAATGATTTAGATAAAGAAAAATTGGATATCAAATTGGGGAGGAGGAGTATGGAAGAAGTGAATGTTTTCAGATACTTGGGAGTGGACGTGTCGGCGGATGGATTTATGAAGGATGAGGTTAATCATAGAATTGATGAGGGAAAAAGGTGAGTGGTGCATTGAGGTATATGTGGAGTCAAAAAACATTATCTATGGAGGCAAAGAAGGGAATGTATGAAAGTATAGTAGTACCAACACTCTTATATGGGTGTGAAGCTTGGGTGGTAAATGCAGCAGCGAGGAGACGGTTGGAGGCAGTGGAGATGTCCTGTTTAAGGGCAATGTGTGGTGTAAATATTATGCAGAAAATTCGGAGTGTGGAAATTAGGAAAAGGTGTGGAGTTAATAAAAGTATTAGTCAGAGGGCAGAAGAGGTGTTGTTGAGGTGGTTTGGTCATTTAGAGAGAATGGATCAAAGTAGAATGACATGGAAAGCATATAAATCTATAGGGAAAGGAAGGCAGGGTAGGGGTCATCCTCGAAAGGGTTGGAGAGAGGGGGTAAAGGAGGTTTTGTGGGCAAGGGTCTTGGACTTCCAGCAAGCGTGCGTGAGCGTGTTAGATAGGAGTGAATGGAGACGAATGGTACTTGGGACCTGACGATCTGTTGGAGTGTGAGCAGGGTAATATTTAGTGAAGGGATTCAGGGAAACCGGTTATTTTCATATAGTCGGACAGACTTGAGTCCTGGAAATGGGAAGTACAGTGGACCCCCGGTTAACGATTTTAATCCGTGCAAGAGGGGTAATTGTTATGCGAAATAATCGTTATGTGAATGAATTTTCCCCATAAGAAATAATGGAAATAAAATTAATCCGTGCAAGACACCCAAAGTATGAAAAAAAAAAATTTTACTACATGAAATATACATTTTCCCACACACAAAGAGAAGGATACATGCTCAATAGTAGAGTAGTACATGCACAGTATATATTGTGCATGTACTAGTCTACTAAATGAAGAATAAATGACACTTACCTTTATTGAAGATGCAGCAATGACTGATGAGACACTGTGTCCTGGGAGTGCCTTTTCCTCCTGAGTACTGTAGGTCCTGTTTGGCATTTTCTTCCAGAACAGGCCTTATCACACTGTGTATGCCACTACGATTCTTAAATCTCTCAAACCAACCTTTGCTGGCTTTAAATTCACCAATATGAGCACTAGTTCCAGGCATTTTTCCCTGTTCACACCTGGGTGTTAGTCGACTTGTGTGGGTTGCATCCTGGGAGACAAGATTAAGGACCCCAATGGAAATAAGTTAGACAGTCTTCGATGACACTGACTTTTTTGGGTTATCCTGGGTGGCAAATCCTCTGGGGTTAATTGTTTTCTTGGTATTCTCAATAAGCCACACCAACAACGTGTGCTACAGCAGCAGCAGCAGCTGACAGTGCAGCAGCAGCAGCAGCTGACAGTGCAGCAGCAGCAGCAGCTGTACCACCAATAGTAGCGATGGTTTGATTGGGGTTTATTATACAACCTGGCCAGCTCGGAGGACATGCACTCCACTTTCATACTTATCAATGATCTTTTTCTTCATCTCTATTGTAATTCTCACCCTTATTGCTGTAGGGTTGGCACTAGAAGCTTCTTGGGGCCCATGGTCACTTATTTTCCAGAAAAAGCACCGAAAACACTGTAATAATACGAAATATTCCGATTGTATGCTTGGATGTTACCGCGGAGGCTGGCTGGTAAACAATGCCACCGGGGGAACATGTGAGCGTGGCTCAGGCCGCACATTGGACGCGTCTCGGACGAAAATCGGTAAGCGGGTTTTTAAGCGGTATGTGAGGCAAAATTTTTGCGATTAAAGTAAGCGGTATGCGAAATAATCGCTATGTGATGCCATCGTTATGCGGGGGTCCACTGTACAATGCCTGCACTTTAAAGGAGGGGTTTGGGATATTGGCAGTTTGGAGGGATATGTTGTGTATCTTTATATGTGTGTATGCTTCTAGACTGTTGTATTCTGAGCACCTCTGCAAAAACAGTGATAATGTGCGAGTGTGGTGAAAGTGTTGAATGATGATGAAAGTATTTTCTTTTTGGGGATTTTCTTTCTTTTTTGGGTCACCCTGCCTCAGTGGGAGACGGCCGACTTGTTGAAAAAAAAAAAAAAAAAAAAAAAGAGGACTAACAGTTAAACAATCTGAAAATAACACAGAATTTAGTAGTAAAAGTAGGGAAAACAAATTACAGTAAAAATGCTGACTCCTATTGATTAAAAAATTAATTACATCAATGATAATGCTGACAATATCCATATTTAACAAAAACAAGGAGAAAAAAAAAACTGAAATTATAAAATGATGTACAGGTTTTTCTGGCTTTATGTAGTTTGCTTTATGCAAATGTTCCATTTCCTTTTTTTACACAGATCAATTTTACAGGCTAAGAGCTGTTATCCTGCCTCAATTTATCTCAAAGCCCGGCCCTGCCTAAGGTATACTACCCCCCCCCCCAGGATGCCACCCATACCAGTCATCTAATACCCAGGTCCCTACTTATCGCTAGGTGAACAAGTGAAGCAGATGTAAGGAAACATGTCCAACATTTCCACCCTTACAGGGGACTGAACCCTAGACACTCAGTGTGTGAGGTGAGTGCGCTACCAGCCTAGCCACGGGACATTTCTGTTTGTAATTTCTGATTGTGACTTTTTTTTAATACATTGGCCGTCTCCCACTGAGGTTCACAAAATGTACTGAAGAGTCTTATTATGCAGAATTAGCACTGACAGTCTGATTAAACTTAGTACAATTCCCATAGGCCTTGATTAAACTTAGTACAATTCCCATAGGCCTTGATTACACTTAGTACAATTCCCATAGGCCTTGATTAAACTTAGTACAATTCCTATAGGCCTTGATTAAACTTAGTACAATTCCCATAGGCCTTGATTAAACTTAGTACAATTCCCATAGGCCTTGATTAAACTTAGTACAATTCCTATAGGCCTTGATTAAACTTAGTACAATTCCTACAGGCCTTGATTAAACTTAGTACAATTCCCATAGGCCTTGATTAAACTTAGTATAATCCCCTAAGCCTAGAAAACAGCTACTGCAGAGAGTAAGGGACCTTTGAGGCTAAATCTTCCAACAAAATCATGCTTTGAAACTTATGATTTGATGGAGGACAAAGAAAATACTACAATGACCAGTACAAGCTGATCAGAAACAATCAGCAGTACAAGCTGATCAGAAACAATCAGCAGTACAAGCTGATCAGAAACAATCAGCAGTACAAGCTGATCAGAAACAATCAGCAGTACAAGCTGATCAGAAACAATCAGCAGTACAAGCTGATCAGAAACAATCACTAGCACAAGCTGATCAGTTTGTACTGGTGATTGTTTCTGATCAGAAACAATCACCAGCACAAGCTGGTCAGAAACAATCACCAGCACAAGCTGATCAGAAACAATCACCAGTACAAACTGATCAGAAACAATCACCAGTACAAACTGATCAGAAACAATCACCAGCACAAGCTGATCAGAAACAATCATCAGTACAAGCTGATCAGAAACAATCACCAGCACAAGCTGATCAGAAACAATCACCAGCACAAGCTGATCAAAAACAATCACCAGCACAAGCTGATCAGAAACAATCACCAGCACAAGCTGATCAGAAACAATCACCAGCACAAGCTGATCAAAACAATCACCAGCACAAGCTGATCAGAAACAATAAACCAGCACAAGCTGATCAAAAACAATCACCAGCACAAGCTGATCAGAAACAATCACCAGCACAAGCTGATCAGAAACAATCACCAGCACAAGCTGATCAGAAACAATCACCAGCACAAGCTGATCAGAAACAATCACCAGCACAAGCTGATCAGAAACAATCACCAGCACAAGCTGGATCTTGGTCACTCCAAATATGACTAATACAGTAACCATATCCTAGTGTTAGGTACAAGGACACAGGTGCAACTAATGTGACATTTTATTGTGGCAACATTTCACTCTCCAGGAGCTTTGTCAAGCCATAACAGCTTGATAAAGTTCATGGAGGCGAAACGTTACCACAATAAAATGTCACAGTTGCACTTGTGTCATTTTACCTAACATACAAGGTGTTTCAAAATGATGGACCCAATTTCAATTGAAATTGGGTTCATTGTTTTAAAACAATGTACTTTTGGTAATTCTACCAACAATAATACACATATCCTAGTGACTGCATTTTGTATCTTTATCCACTATTTGTCAGTACAGTCACCTCTCTTTATTAAGCTCCTCTGAACAGTGTTATAATCATAACCATAGTTTTTAAAGGGGAGGAGGGGTAAGCCGGTGGAAGGCTCGGTCAGATGACCGAAAGCTCCAGCTGTAGGTCATCATATGACTAAAACCCACGTGAATTAACACTTTTTTGTTTCCTGACAAACCTAACCTAACCTAATAGTGTGATGTTTTGTAAATGTGATCAAAAGAGAACATCCATAGCCGAGTACAGCCTCTCCTCGCTTAACGACAAAGTTCCGTTCTTAAGACCACGTTGTTAAACGGATTCATCGCTAAGTGACGAGCATACTATAATAGTAGTGTGTTTGTGTCAACCATCTTTGATATTGTTTTAATGTCACCTTTGCACCATTTATAACATTTCTGGTATATTTTTAAATGTTTATACAGTAGTGTACTGTATATTGAAATAAACAGAATAGAGGAAATCAGCTCTAATATACATTATTTAGGTATGCATATTGGTCAGAGAGCCAGTTGTAAGTCCAAGGCATTGGTAAACGAGTACGTTGCTAAGTGAGGAGAGGCTGTAGTGTGTAGAAAGACCTTCAGAGTACAAAATACTATTGAATCCTGGATACTCTTTTTCATTTGCATTTGCAAAAAATTGCACTATACATATAAAATAGCTTTACAAGAGAGTTTTATCGCATACCTTTATATTATTATGTATTGATAACATCACATAACTTTAGTGTGGATGTCAGTGTCATGTGCTCCAAAATAATCAAAAGATGAATAATTTTATAATACTCTTGCAACCTCTTGTTAATAGAAATTTTAAACTACATTTGATATACTGTACTGTGTAATAATTACACCGACCAACATATGAACATACTCACATGCTCGTATGTAACTCGTAACACTTCATAATCAGTGGACTATTTTTTTATATTAAAGTCACATTAATTTCAACTATATTTTTTTTGAAACAAGATCTGTAAAATAATTTGTGTGAATATTATCTCATCCAAAATACTGAGAGCACTAAACAGCCCAATAGTAATAATAATAATAATAATTGTTCCAGATATGGTATTGTTACTTTTTATTACTATTATTATCATCATCTTCATATAAATATTACAACAAAAGTCTTAAAAATAATAGATCTTTTAGTGACACTTACTTCATCTTTTTTAAATAAAACCATGTTGATGAATGTGATGAGGACAGCTGGGGCACAGCCAGCTTTATGGATAAAATCAAAAGCCGGCCCACATCCATAATGTATCCACTTGTGAAATATCAAGATGCAAAGGTAGCCAAAGAGACCAATCAGGAAGATAATCTGAGGGATGAACTCAAACACCAGACTCACGTAGTTCCTGAAGAAACTGAAATAAAATATGACTGGTTAAAATAGAGCTGCTGTCTACTTGGAGAGGGTTTCGGGGGTTATTGCCCTTGCAGCCCGGTCTGTGATCAGGTCTCACGGTGGATAATGGCCTGATGAACCAGACTGTTACTGCTTACACATTGTCAAGATTCTCTCCTAGTGTTCCCAGAGACAATAAATGTATACCATAGGCAAGATAATCAAGGGCCTTCTATTGAATGTCATCTGTTTTTTTTTTTAAAAACTATGCACATTGTGAGAGTAAATTATTATTATTATTTTTTTCAATGAACTGGCTGTATCTCAGCCTCCCTGGGATACAGCCTCACTTGGATACAGAAGGGGTTACTAGCCCCTTGCTCCCAGCATTTTAGTCACCTCTTACGACATGCATGGCTTACGAAGGAAAAATTCTTTTACACTTCCCCATGGAGATTATTATTATTATTCATTGGCCATCTCCTGCAAAGGTATGGTGACCCAAAGAAGAAATCACATTCACCATTATTAATCATTATTATTATTTTAACACACTGACTGTTTCCCACTGAGGTAGGATGATCAAAACAGAAATACTTTCACCATCTATCGCACTATCACTGTCTTGCCAGATGCATGCAGATATGACAGTTTAGATGCTGCTCCAAACAGCAAATATCCCAAACCCCTCCTTTAGCATGCAGGCACTGTACTTCCCACCTCTAGGACTCACATGTGTCGCACACTGTCTCTCCTCATTGCCGAGGTGTATCACACAGCCAGACTGTTTATAGAGATAAGAGGCTGCACTTAAGTGCTTTTCCTCTGTGAAGGAACCTGCGATTTACTAACACATACTTATGCCAGATGTTAGTCGGCAAACTGACAGTTATATGAAGGTCAGAGTGATTCACCTTGAATGATCAAGCTGATGGCAGAGACAGATACACTTTTCATATTATGCAGATGACACATCATCAGTGTACACTTAAAACTAAAATACGGAACTTGAATATAAATAGTCTTAGAATTTTCAAGAGTGGTAATGCATTAGAAAGCTAAAAAATCACTGCAGAATACTTTCAGTCCCAATAGTTTCAGATGCAGTAGAAGTGGTAATATTGTGCACTATATAAATATTTAACCCAAACCCAGTATGTTGTTCAGCAAATATGGCATTAATCTTCATCGCTGGCTGGAACACTATCAATACCCAAGTGAGATTCACAATATACTGTCTAGTAAATAATGCATCAATATTTACTAACTGAAATTATCAATACTCACAGGTGATTCACAAGAGAAAGCATAACCCCAAAGATCATTTGCACAACTCCGATGATGATAGAAATTTTCATTTTATAGCTGTTCTGGAAGGCAATCTTATTCACTGCAATCTGACAACACACACAAAAAAAGACAAAATAAAACATCATCTTCTGTTCTGAAGTCCAAAAGGAAATAAATTAGTCAATACAATTCCAATACATTACAACTTTATTTTTTCTGAAGTATACAAAATGTAGTTTAAAATATTGTTAAGCACAAAAGAAAGCCACTAACATGCTGTACCCACTTAGTATTTTCATACCCCTTAGGAAAAAAGAAAATTGTCTTGTAAAAACTGAAAAACAATAACTCATTATTAATTAATACTAACCTGCCATATGGGGTCAAATCCAAATGGATACGGTGTCTGATCGTATTCCTTCTCATACAGTGGATTCAGAGTGACCTCTTCCACATATGATAGGTAATGGACTGTAGCATTTTCACCCATGTGCCAAGACGATCCAAATATATTGAATGACTTTGAGAATATGTCGTTGTAGATGATGCCAGTGTAGACGGAGAAAAAACCCATCATTAGCAGGATATAGCGCCCGCCGAAGAAAATATTCCAGATCTGAGAGAAGTAACAGAATCATAAATATATTCACTACTCAAAGAAAAAATACAAAAAAAAAAAAAAAAATGACTCAAGCTCTTGAAAGTAATTCTGAGGCTCTGGAAAGCTACTTCCAGGCTCTGGAAAGCTACTTCCAGGCTCTGGGAAGCTACTCCCAGTACAATTCCTGTCCAGACCCCTTGAGATTAATATTGGTATCAGTGTCCACTTTTAAAAAAAAAACATCTGAAATGGTAGAGAATCTTTTTCTGGAAGCAATGATACCAAAAGTACGAAATTTGATGCAAAACTTATGGACTTACACAACAACAAAGTTGGTGGTCTTAGAGCAATTTATGAATTGGCACTTTCACTCAAGTCCTATTTCTAGACAATTCCATTACTCCACTCAGCTAAATTCTTAACTACTACTTTGCTAGTATGCCTTCCATTCTACTGACTGAGCAAAAGAAACTGCCCATTCAACTACTCCATAAGGTGCACAGAAATTGGTAGCTTGACCAATTTTACCCAAAAAATAAAAAAATACCAATTAAAAAAAAAAGTTAAAAATAAGTAATCTAGACATTCCTGGCATTATTATAACATTTCCTCTGTTCATTAATCATACCCCCAGGCCTCTCCTATATTATACTTGCCTTCTCTTTTGAATTCTTAATCACACACAAATAGATGGTTTGCTCTTATTTCTCAAATAATAACATATAACCAGGAATGACTGGTTAGAGATCATCTATAAAGAGATGCACATAAAGTATTAAAATCTAATGTATGCGCCCTCTAAAGTGCAGATTAATCCTTATAGATAGCATCTATATTTTATTAATAAAACTTGCACTGTGAATTCTAAATACAGTCAGTGGTTTTCAATTACAGTAGACCCTTGGTTATTGGCCATTCTGGATATCGGCCAATTTGGATTTCGACCGCTTTTTTGGCCAAAATTCTATCCCAGATTTCAGCCGTCAGCTCTGAAATCGGCTGTATGGGATGCGTCCATCCCATCATTCCACCACTTTCGTGAATCAGTTTGGCTATGTCTCTCAGAGAGTGAGGAAGACTGTGCATTCATCCAAACATTTTGCTATAATCCACTGTTTTTCTGGGTGTTTATTGAGTGCAACTGCAAAATAAGCCACTATGGGCCCAAAGAAAGTTCCTAGTAAAGTTCCTTTGGTAAAGAAAGTGAGAAACATGATGGAATTAAAAAAAGTTTTGTGGAGAAATATCACCCTGACCAAGCTGAAACAAGCCATATCTGCAACATATTCAGTGACAAAACCTTGTCCCACTTCAGGCAAATCTTAAAGAGACACCAGAAATAGACCTCTCTGGACAGTTTTTTTGTGACAGGGGTACAGTGACTCTCAAGCTGGTCCTAGTGGCATTAAAAGAAAAAGAAGGGAAGTAACCCCAGAGAGGCTTTGATACCCGAAGGCCTTATGGAGGGGGATTTCCCTTCCAAACAATAATCAGTCCTCCCTCTCCTCCCTGTCTTCCATAAGCCAACAAGAGTCTTCAATAACGGTATGTAATAGTGATTTAGATGTTCATTTATTTATTTTATTCAGTTCTCATTGTTTCGTGTATGTAAAACTGTAGTTAATCTTTAAAAAATTTTTTTTTTTTGTTAATATTTTTGGGTGTCTGGAACGGATTAATTGTAAGTATTTACATTAATTCTTATGGGAAATATTATTTCGTTTTTTGGCCTTTTCGGATTTAGGCTGACCTTCTGGAACGGATTACAGCCGATAACCGAGGGTCCACTATATACCCATTCTTCATATATTTAGACTTCATACAATAAATATTTTCACTCACTATAAGGACAAAAAATATTTTAACGTAAGTAATGTGTGTATTGTATATGCATTTTTTAGGCCTAGTTCTACCGAATACCTAATATATGAAAATGTAAATATGTTATTAGGCTTTTATATGCATTTGAAAGTGAGAAAAGGCTATGTTTCACTGTACAGCAATTTTTGCTTTACAGCAGTAACCCAGTAGCCTGGAACGTAACTTGCTGTATAAGCGGGGCCCTACAGTAGCTCAGAACCTAACCTGCTGTATAAGCGGGGCCCTCCTGTACTGAGGGAGGCAGTGACAATACCACCTCGGTACTACTCACCTCACCGCTCATCTTGGAAGCTATAAGGGCCTTCTCTCTCAAAACCATCCATAGGGCAAACAACAGCATAATCAGTCCATGGCCAGCATCACCAAACATCACAGCAAACAAGAATGGGAAGCTTGTTGTTGTGTACAGCGCTATTGATAAAAGCAAGAATAACAGCATTATAACTTGTTCTAAATTAATGGTGGCCCAGGATGGACCAAAATGTCAGATAAAGTTTCCTCTCTAAACTGCAGGTTAGCTGTGAATTGTTCCAGCCAAAGTACTGTCACCAAGCAAAAGTTACAGTACCAGAGTCAGAAATAAAGGAAGCCAGGTTACTAGGATCCCATGATAGAAAAAGTGTTATGCTTAGATTCCACTCACATGACATGAAAAAAAGACTTAATTATTGCATCTATTAAAGTAAAGAAAGATGTATACATAAACGAGTGTCTTAATAAAAAACGTCAGAACCTCCTGTATAGAGTCAGAAAACTCAAGCGAGAGAATAATGACACAATACACCAATGCTTCACGCGGGATGGGAAAATTCTAGTTAGGAAAACAAATGTAGGTCAACTGTACACAATCACGAACGAGAATGATCTATTACGATTTCTCAGGGATACTAATCTTACAGAGAATAACTAAACAATGTCCAACCTAAAAGCCTACATAGCGTTGTGTATGTTTTGCTCCATTATTGTTCAAATTTCGTAGTACAATCTCTTAGTAATTAAATAATCAACTTCCTCATTTTGTGATTTTACTAGTAAGCATAAGTCACCTTATGTAATTTTCTTATTTAATATTGTTTGCTTAAATATTAGCTGAATTGATACTTTCTCTGTCCATATTATTACCTCATATTTTTTAAATACTATCAATTGATATTACTTACTAAAATTAATAATTATCATTTTTACTATAATTTCAATTTACTCTTAACATTTTTGACATTTAATAACCATTACTTGTCTAATTACCTTTACCTGTTTTAATACCACATTTACTATCTTAGAGTACGTACTCTTAATTACCTTGTACTGCCATATAACCTCTAGTATAACTACCAGTGCAATACTGAATGAAATAAACATTACTTTTTCACTTTTTTTGTAATCATTATTACTTACTAAAATTTCATTAAACACCATATTTACTACCAGTCAATTTTACTTTTGTACATTAAACATTATTTTATACTTCCCATAACATTTTGTTGCCAAATTTTCAAGTTTGTATATTCAACTCCAACCTTTATATTATCCTTTGTACCTGTGTACCTGTGTACCTGTCTACCATCTTACTATCATATTATAACCAAGTCATTGCCACTGTTATTTTTTACTTATTATTCTTTTGGTACTTTAATTTGTGAATTTTATTTTGTCAATTTAAATCTAGTTATACTCGTGATCTTGTCAACAACCTATACCAGACTCTAGTGCAATTGCAAGTACCATTTCAATTTGTATTTTTATATTATAAGTTTATATTATAAGTCCTACTCTAAGATTGTTTTCATATCTTAGTGACTATATTGTGTGTGCAATTAGTGTACATGTATATTTCAATTATATTATTGTTCAAGGCCCTTAACTATCTTTTGCTAACTAGTACCAACTACCTCATATATATTTTTTTTTTTTACTTTTTTTATTCTTTTGCTACCTTGACTTGTATAGTTTATCTTGTCAATTTAAATCTAGTTATACTCTAATTCTTGTAAACAACTTATATAACACCTTAGTGCAATTACAACAGAGTCTTGTGCCTTTTTTATATCATTAGATTAAACTCAGTTGTACTATAGCTCATTCTAGCTCAATACATAGTCAATACCAAGTCCATTATATTAACCATAGTGCAATTACTATGAGAGTCTGGTCTATTTTTAATTTGTATTTTATATTATTAGATAAACTAGTTGTACTATAGCTCATTCTAGCTCAATACATAGACTATACCAAAGTCATTATATTAGACCTAGTGCAATTACAGTGAGAGTCTGTACTATTTTAATTTGTATTTTTTTATATTAGTTTATACCTAGTTGTACTTAGCTCATTCCAGCACAACACATAGACAACACCAACTCCATATATGTATTAGTGACTACAACTTTCTATTCTTTCAACACACCGCCGTATCCACGAGGCGGGGTGCCCAAAAGGAAAACAAAGTTCTCCTTTAACATTTAGTAATATATACAGGAAAGAGGTTACTAGCCCCTTGCTCCCGGCTGAAAATTTTAGTCGCCTCTTACAACACGCATGGCTTACGGAGGAAGAATTCTGTTCCACTTCCCCATGGAGATAAGAGGAAATAAACAAGAATAAGAACTAGAAAGAAAATAGAAGAAAACCCAGAGGGGTGTGTATATATGTGCTTGTACATGTATGTGTAGTGGGACCTAAGTGTAAGTAGAAGTAGCAAGACGTACCTGAAAACTTGCATGTTCATGAGACAGAAAAAAGGACACCAGCAATCCTACCATCATGTAAAACAATTACAGGCTTTCGTTTTACACTCACTTGGCAGGACGGTAGTACCTCCCTGGGCGGTTGCTGTCTACCAACCTACTACCTAGGTGACTATACTCTATATGACCAAAATGCTTTAGCTATATACTTGTCCAAACTTCCCACCACTACAGATATCAGTACTAGAATTCAACACACAACTCAGGATATAAATAACCATAATTTAAACCTAGAAGATGATTGATCACGTTGACCCTGATCTAAACCTCCATAATCTGACACACAATCAAAACCTATTGGAAAGTAACTGCCTTTACTACACAGCATCACAAGCCAGCACTATCCTAAACAATGCTAAAAGTCTATCAGTACTTAACTACAACATCAGGTCCTTAAGCAAACACTATGATGACCTCCTGGCACTCCTTGAATCACTAAAGACACCCCTCTCGTGCATTATTCTTACTGAGACCTGGCTTAAGCAGGACACAATAGATATCTACCCTCTACCAGGATACACAGCAATCCACAACTGCAGACCATACCAAGTTGGGGGGGGGTATTGCAATCTATTACTCTAACCAATTATCTTGTATTAGTACCACTTGCTTTAGGGGAAGATATGGAGAATACATTTTTGCTAATTTTACTGTAAAAAACCTTAAGACACCTATAACAATCAGTGCCATTTACCAGATACCTCACACAAACATCCCAAATTTCAGTGAGAAAATTTAAAATCACTAATAACAAACAGACAAATGAATAAGCACCACTTTTCCTTAGCTGGAGACTTCAACGTCAACCTTGGCCTACTAGATGATCAGCCTGTAACTGATTTCATCAACAATATGAACAACACACTTCTCATACCAACAATAACTAAACCAACCAGGCTCACTGAAACAAGTGCAACCATAATAGACCACATATGGACCAATATACTAGCCCCCCTTAAATCAGGGATAATCACAGATAGCAGTACAGACCACTACCCTACCTTCCTCTTGACAAACATTAGTAAACCACCACTTGAATACAACAAAGTTTCATTTAGATTCCATGACGAGGCCTCAATAAGGAAGTTCACAGCTGACCTAGAGACTGTTGACTGGCCCACAGAATTCTCCAAGGCCAATGGTATTGATGACTGGACAGACATTTTTCTTAACAAATTACTTAGACTATACAACAAACATTGTCCTATAAAAACGAAACAGATCACAAACAAACGGCTTGGTTGCCCATGGCTAACCAGCACCATTCTGAAATCCACTGATAAGAAACACCAATATGAAAAGCAATATAGACAGGGCTTAATACACAAAGATATTCTTAAACACTATTCATCAGTCCTCACCAAAGTAATAAAGAAAGCCAAACAACTATACTACTCCAGCAGATTCACTGACACAAGAGGAGATGAAAAAAAGACCTGGAAAACACTCTCTCAGATTCTGGGGACCCACAAACTGAAAAAAAACAAGAATATTGTCCTAACTAAACCTAATGAAACACCACTGCATCCCACTGACACAGCTAACAAGATAAACGACTTCTTCTCAACCATAGGAACTAATCTCGCCAATAAAATCCCACGTACCAATGCCCATGCCGGGGACTACCTAGATGGGAATTTCCCAAATTCCTTCTATCCTGCACCAACTGAGCCCACGGAAGTCACCGAGATTATAAAGTCACTCAAAAATAACTCAGGGAATCTGTCTCATGTCCCACCATTATTGTACAAGCGAGTGGCCGATGGCCTTTCGCATGCTATCTCATTACTTTTTAACAAGTCACTAGAAACTAGCACCTTCCCGAAACTACTCAAGACGGCAAGGGTTACACCAATACATAAAGGTGGTGACCTACAGATTTAAACAACTATAGGCCAATATCAAACTTACCATTGCTATCCAAAATCTTTGAGAAACTCGTGCACAGGAGACTATATTCATTTATAACGGCACAAAACGTACTCAACCCCTGCCAATTTGGATTCAGGAAAAATAAAAGCACTAACGATGCAATCATAAAAATGCTAGATCTGCTTTACACAGCATTGGAAAATAAGGAATATCCACTAGGAATTTTTATTGACCTAAGAAAAGCTTTTGACACAGTAGACCACGGCATCCTACTCCACAAACTTGACCGTTATGGTATAAGAGGCCATGCGCTTGCATATTTCAAATCTTATCTTACTAATAGGTATCAGTATGTCACCACTGAAGACACAGCATCAACAACACGGCCACTTGATACTGGAGTTCCACAGGGAAGTGTCCTTGGTCCCCTGCTCTTCCTCATATACATCAATGATCTTCCAAATGTATCTCAACACCTGAACCCCATTCTTTTTGCTGACGACACGACTTATGTCATCTCTCACCCTAATCTTGCCACCCTCAACACCATTGTTAACGAGGAGCTGATAAAATATCGACTTGGATGACAGCCAATAAACTTACGCTTAACACTGATAAAACCTACTACATTATGTTTGGTAGCAGAGCAGGAGATGCACAAATTAACATTAAGATCGACAACACTCTAATTACCAGACATAATGAGGGTAAATTCCTAGGCCTATACCTCGACAACAACCTGAATTTCAGCACCCATATCCAACACATAACCAAAAAAGTATCCAAAACGGTTGGGATCCTCTCCAAGATACGATACTACGTGCTGCAAACTGCCCTTCTCACACTATACCATTCGCTTATATATCCATACCTCACCTATGCTATCTGTGCTTGGGATTCAACTGCAGCAACACACCTAAAGCCAATAATAGCCCAACAAAAAGCCGCAGTAAGAATAATCACTAAATCCCATCCCTGGCAACACACCCCCCCACTCTTCATAGATCTAAACTTACTCCCTGTTCAGTACATCCACACTTACTACTGTGCAATCTACATCTACAGGACCTTAAATTCCAATATTAACCTTGACCTAAAACGCTTTCTTGATAGTTGTGACAAAAACCCACAGGCATAACACCAGACACAAAAAATCTCTATGACATTCCCCGTGTCCGACTAAACCTTTACAAAAATTCAATGTATGTCAAAGGCCCTAAAATCTGGAACACCCTACCTGAAAACTCTAGAACTGCAGACACATTCATCACCTTCAAAACTACCATCAGAAAACATCTTATCTCCCTATACACCCTGTCAACTAATTACACGAATACCACCTGGTGGTTCACACTTACACTCACCCCACCCATTTGAAACCCTAAACAGAAATATCAATCTCAATCTTAAAATAATGAATCTTAACTAGTCATAAGTGATACTCCAATACTGAAACTATGTATAGTGCCAAAACAAAAGCATTCACATTGCTAAACTCACAAACTAGTATTTAGTCACTTAGCCATAATACCAACTTACCTCATAACTTTGTAATATTTTAAACTTAAGATTTAATATAAGTCTGCCCGAAATGCCTAGCCATGCTAGGTGTTCTAGTGGTACACTCTGTAATTATTATTCTACTACATGTAAACCACACAATAACCAAATTCTGTAAACTCAGCATTGAAATCCTTATAGAGAATAAACTTTGAATTGAATTGAATGTGTTCTCCATAATTTTTCTGTCAACAAATGAAAGTAAAGACAGTAGGAGATATACCGCATATTCTTTTTAATTTAACGTCAAAATAATACAAAGGCTGAAGGAACTGGCTTAGCATGGATAAGAGAAAAATAACTGAAGTAGAAACATAAACTTTAATTAAATTAAAGAAACTGGAGAGTATGTAGTGATGGTGGTATGGACAGAGTTGTGACTCAAATAAGTTAGCACAGAGAGTAAGCAATGGCTGATTTTATCATGTATCATAGTGCAATACATTTTTATTTCTTTTCAGCGGTATACAAATTTATTTTACATGTAATAAAATACTGTTTAGCACAAAAGAATGTCACTAGCTTCCTGTGCATTTTAGGCAGACTAAGCATAGTGCTCACAAACTACTTAAGACTAAACATAGGTTACTGAGTACGAGTCTTTTTTTTAGATGTTGTAAAAAAATAAGTGAGATTGCTAAGTGAACAATAGTACAATTTTAAGTATGCATTAATATAAAAGAAGCGAGGTAGCTAAATGAAGATAGTACAATAGTACTATACACTGTATAGTACCTGTGGTGAATGGCAACTAGTCAATAAACTATCAACTTTCTTATAGATGTAAGTGAGGGAACAAAATGCAGGATTGTGAAACAGGACTGTTCAACTGTGGAATGTTAATTGTTGCTATTATTAAGACCTGGTACCACGACAAATAACTTGCCAAAATGTGTTCGACATTGGTCGATTCTATGCCAAAGCATGTAGCAATGATTCAAAAACCTAAGTGTCTTTTAGTGTTGCAGTGAGGCAGTAATATGCAGAGAATAACATTTTCAAATGTAATGAATGTGGAGAGAAGAGGACTAACCTGGGTTTATTTCCCGGTAGGTTGCTACACCATAGGCATTAACCAGGGCCTGGAAGCCATTAGTGAACTTGTTGGTTCTATGGAAGGTTGGTGGCATCATGGTGGGTTTTATGGTGTTCAGAATGGGCTGCACCGAACTCCCCGATTTCTCCTAGAAATTTTACCACGAATAAGATTTCACATATTTAAATTTAAGCACTGTTCTGAAATGTTCATGGCAGTCTTTTGCATACACTGGAAGTTAGAAATATGATTTATTTTGAAAATATCAATACTGTACTACTGAAATTGACACTAGGATATCTACTCGACTTTATAGCAGTGTAAAACAATATTTAACAGCCATAAAAAATATAAAATGAAAATGACATATCTATTAATTAAATCCAGACAGATGAAGTACTAGAAAATATTCAAATTATTCTCAGTAGACCAGAAAAAAAGTGTATACTTACTGTTCCTGGAAATGGGAAGTACAATGGCTGCACTTTAAAGGAAGGGTTTGAGATATTAGCGGTTTGGAGGGATATGTTGTGTATCTTTATACATATATGCTTCTAAACTGTTGTGTTCTGAGCACCTCTGCAAAAACAGTGATTATGTGTGAGTGAGGTGAAAGTGTTGAATGATGATGAAAGTATTTTCTTTTTGGGGATTTTCTTTCTTTTTGGGTCACCCTGCCTCGGTGGGAGACGACCGACTTGTTTAAAAAAAAAAAACTTACTGTTCCTTTACGGAGACCGTCCTGAATACGGCCCAGGTCAGAAACTGGGATCCAACATTCAGCAATGAGGCACTTGTTTGTCACATCCAGGTTCAACATGTTGAGGGCGTGATAAATGGCCTTAATCTTCCGCACCTTAATGAACCATGTACGCAAGTGTTTGGCAGCAGCAGCCAATACTCGATGCCGATGGTCAGTTGTCTGATTCAGCACCTGAGTGTTTGGGATGCTATTAAAATATTTAAACCCCTATGTGTCCCTGTATTGTTTGTAATGACTTGACAAAGCTCTTGGAAAGTGAAACATTGCCAGAATGAAATGTCGCATTAGTTACACTTGTCCTCTTGCCTAAAATATTTATTCACTTGAGATTCTGACACCATTTAAAAACACAGCAACAATTTATTTACACTTATTAAGGTACATCTTTGGGTATAATTTTTAAAAATCATTCCAGTATGAGTACAGGTCACTTTTGACTTACAACCATCAAAAGTTATACAAACCTACAATTACAAATGTCTCAAGTTACACACTTATGTACTTACATATAAGGCACTTAGAAACTAAAGTTTACATCACTTGAGATGCAGCACAAACATGTGAAACATAATCTTCCATTGTAATGTTACTATCTGTGCAAACAACTGACCTGTGAGCTGCAATACCCAGAACATAACTCATTTATAAGGAAATAACAGGCATGCAACATGTCTGTAAATAGTAACACCAACAAAACACAGTGTGTTTGTAAACTGAAACAGCAGAAGCACAACCTGTTTGTAATACAATGTGTTTGTTAAGTTGAAACACCAGGAATACAACTTGTTTCTAAATGGAACCATCAGGAACACAACTTCTTTCTAAAATGAAACACCAAGAACACAACTTCTTTCTAAGTTGAGACACCAGGAACACAACTTGTTTCTAACATGAAACACTAGGAAATCAGAAACCTGGTACTCAGATTATTTACAAACCACCACCAACAACAGGAGAGGAATTCATTCAGAAAATAGGGATGACAGACTGCTGTCTTGAAAATCTGGAGAATCCTATGCCAGGTAATTGTCTCTTGGGAGATTTCAACCTCCCAGGTGTAAAACAGAAGATGGTGGATAACAACACTGTACAAAAAATTATGCAAAGTTACAAAAATTAGGAAGGAGAAGGATGGGTGAACTTCATATATTTCAACTATAAGAGGGCATTTGATACAGTATCACAGAAAAGACTGGCACAAAAACTAGAGCTAGCATGAAAATATTTGATCCCAACAAGCACATACCATGCGACTCAAAGACTGCAAAAGAAGTTTGAATTAAGCCTACTAATAACAGGACCTACTAGAAATGAAAATAAAATGGATTTGATCTCCATAAACAATGAGGAATTAATAAGTCATGTATGGATAACCTAAGTGATAGCTAACAGGTGGGAAGGCTTAGCATTAGAGGAATAGGTGGGGGACTTTATGTAAATAAAATAAGTTAAAAATTTTAAGAACTGAAAGGTAAACATTAAGTGAAAGACAGAAGACAAAGTCTTGGGTTCTTACTACTGTAAGGTCATCAAGTCTTCCCCTGACACCTTGTCCCATTTCTTGACGTTCTTGTTGTGACTCTGGACATGGGTATGTGGTGGCACGACAGCCATCACATATCTTCTTCACTTTATTCTTCAACTTCTCACCTTGGAAGAAGATTAGGAAGACGACCTTGTGTACCTCTTCTTCCTGTTAATGATAGGTAGAGTTATCTTATATTCTACTGCTTAATTACAGTAATTTAACAAGCTGTATTACTTCTTAAGAATAAAGACAATAAAATAATCATATTAGTTCTGTATACAACCCCAGAAAACTGTTTGCATTATGAAAAACTTTAGTGGTGCAGTAAGTACAAGAAGAGATACTTTAAGTATTTGTATACAAGATCCAAGACCTTTCACATACACATACACATATATATTTCTTTAACACACTGGCTATTTCCCAACAAGGTAGGCTGACCCAAAAAAAGAAACATTTTCACCATCATTCACTCAATCACTGTCTTGCCAGACATGTGTAGTTACTACAGTTCAGATGGCCCTCCAAATTGCAAGCACTGTACTTCCCACCTCCAGGACTCAAGTCTGGCTAACTGGTTAATCCCTTCACAAAATGTTACCTTGCTCACACTTCAACAGCTTGTCAGGTCCCAAAAACCATTTGCCTCCACTCCTGATTTAACACACTCACACATACCTGCTGGATGTCCAAGTCCCTTGCACATAAAACTTCCTTTACCCCATCCCTCGATCTCTACCTAGGATGACCCCTATCCCTCCTTCCCTCCACTACAGATTTATACGCTCTCCAAGTCATCTTATTTTGTTCTATCCTCTCTAATGTCCTAACCACCTCAACAACCCCTCTTCAGTCCTCTGGATAATACTTTTAACACCCCTGCACCTCCTTCTAATCTCCAAGCTACAAATTCTCTGCATAATATTCACACCACACATTGCCCTCTGACACAACATTTATACTGTACATAACCATTTTCAAGTCTCAAAAAAAGTTTACAAAGCAACATAAACATTATTAATATAAAGACTCCAAATTGCATTAAAGTGTCTCAATTTATTCCAAGTGTAAAAGTACCAAAAATTAATTTTCAAGTCTTACAGTGACAGGATCTTCCAGAGGTTCCAGAATCTCAGCTTGGCGAACAAAGACATTTCCACGGCACACCCGCCACAACATGCGCTCAAACATGGGCATACGCTCCCGTCTTGTCACACCAGCAACAAACCTTTTGGAGAAATGTTCAGTTCTAATCGTCTTCTATAATGATGTTGAATAAGAGTCACTATACATGTACCATGGATAGAAAAATTACCAGCTAACTCACAATTTGGAGAAGACTTTACATGACATTCTGGTTAGGCTAGGCAAGGTCTGTCAGGAAACAGGACAATTGTTTCCTGATGCAGGTCTCAGTTATGTGATGACCCACAGGAGGAGCTTTTGATCATCTGACCAAGGCCTTCCACTGGCTTACCCTCCATCACTTTAAAAATTATGGCTATAATTATAACCACAGACTAGCACTATTGTAGTTTAATCAAACAGATGTTCTGTCATTAACCCAGATGGTTAGTAACCCATGACAACCCAAGGAGAGACATCATTGTAAACAAAATTTTCAATTACTGTATTTTGTGGCATATGTTGCACTCCCCCCCCCCTCCAAAAAAAAAAAAAAAAAAAAAAAAAAAAAAAAAAACTTGGAAAATCATTCTGTACCTTATATCCTCAAGGTCAGGGTCAAGGGTAAACTTTGGGTTGCACTTTAGCAGTTGTTTACTAACACTATGCTACAACTGCTTGTATAATTGTCTTATATGATTGTGTGCCTTTTATGCCAGAAGATGCAGTACTGCTTGTGTTTGAATCAACTACAAACTGTTGGTATTCCCATACTACCTGGAGTTTACCTGGAGAGAGTTCCGGGGGTCAACGCCCCCGCGGCCCGGTCTGAGACCAGGCCTCCTGGTGGATCAGAGCCTGATCAACCAGGCTGTTGCTGCTGGCTGCACGCAAACCAACATACGAGCCACAGCCCGGCTGATCCGGAACTGACTTTAGGTGCTTGTCCAGTGCCAGCTTGAAGACTGCCAGGGGTCTGTTGGTAATCCCCCTTATGTGTGCTGGGAGGCAGTTGAACAGTCTCGGGCCCCTGACACTTATTGTATGGTCTCTTAACGTGCTAGTGACACCCCTGCTTTTCATTGGGGGGATGGTGCATCGTCTGCCAAGTCTTTTGCTTTCGTAATGAGTGATTTTCGTGTGCAAGTTCGGTACTAGTCCCTCTAGGATTTTCCAGGTGTATATAATCATGTATCTCTCCCTCCTGCGTTCCAGGGAATACAGGTTTAGGAACCTCAAGCGCTCCCAATAATTGAGGTGTTTTATCTCCGTTATGCGCGCCGTGAAAGTTCTCTGTACATTTTCTAGGTCGGCAATTTCACCTGCCTTGAAAGGTGCTGTTAGTGTGCAGCAATATTCCAGCCTAGATAGAACAAGTGACCTGAAGAGTGTCATCATGGGCTTGGCCTCCCTAGTTTTGAAGGTTCTCATTATCCATCCTGTCATTTTTCTAGCAGATGCGATTGATACAATGTTATGGTCCTTGAAGGTGAGATCCTCCGACATGATCACTCCCAGGTCTTTGACGTTGGTGTTTTCGCTCTATTTTGTGGCCAGAATTTGTTTTGTACTCTGATGAAGATTTAATTTCCTCATGTTTACCATATCTGAGTAATTGAAATTTCTCATCGTTGAACTTCATATTGTTTTCTGCAGCCCACTGAAAGATTTGGTTGATGTCTGCCTGGAGCTTTGCAGTGTCTGCAATGGAAGACACTGTCATGCAGATTCGGGTGTCATCTGCAAAGGAAGACACGGTGCTGTGGCTGACATCCTTGTCTATGTCGGATATAAGGATGAGGAACAAGATGGGAGCGAGTACTGTGCCTTGTGGAACAGAGCTTTTCACCGTAGCTGCCTCGGACTTTACTCTGTTGACGACTACTCTCTGTGTTCTGTTAGTGAGGAAATTATAGATCCATCGACCGACTTTTCCTGTTATTCCTTTAGCACGCATTTTGTGCGCTATTACGCCATGGTCACACTTGTCGAAGGCTTTTGCAAAGTCTGTATATATTACATCTGCATTCTTTTTGTCTTCTAGTGCATTTAGGACCTTGTCGTAGTGGTCCAATAGTTGAGACAGACAGGAGCGACCTGTTCTAAACCCATGTTGCCCTGGGTTGTGTAACTGATGGGTTTCTAGATGCGTGGTGATCTTGCTTCTTAGGACCCTTTCAAAGATTTTTATGATATGGGATGTTAGTGCTATTGGTCTGTAGTTCTTTGCTGTTGCTTTACTGCCCCCTTTGTGGAGTGGGGCTATGTCTGTTGTTTTTAGTAGCTGTGGGACGACCCCCGTGTCCATGCTCCCTCTCCATAGGATGGAAAAGGCTCGTGATAGGGCTTCTTGCAGTTCTTGATGAACACAGAGTTCCATGAGTCTGGCCCTGGGGCAGAGTGCATGGGCATGTCATTTATCGCCTGTTCGAAGTCATTTGGCGTCAGGATAACATCGGATAGGCTTGTGTTAATCAAATTTTGTGGCTCTCATAAAAAATTCATTTTGATCTTCGACTCTCAGTCTGGTTAGCGGCTTGCTAAAAACTGAGTCATATTGGGACTTGAGTAGCTCACTCATTTCCTTGCTGTCATCTGTGTAGGACCCATCTTGTTTAAGTAGGGGCCCAATACTGGACGTTGTTCTCGATTTTGATTTGGCATAGGAGAAGAAATACTTTGGGTTTCTTTCGATTTCATTTATGGCTTTTAGTTCTTCCCAGCGATTCCTGACTCCTAAAGGATTCTTTTAGCTTAAGTTCGATGCTTGCTATTTCTCTGACCAGTGTCTCCCTACGCATTTCAGATATATTGACCTCTTTTAGCCGCTCTGTTATTCTTTTCCGTCGCCTGTAAAGGGAGCGCCTGTCTCTTTCTGTTTTACATCTACTCCTCCTTTTTCTTAGAGGAATAAGCCTTGTGCATACATCGAGTGCCACCGAGTTAATCTGTTCTAGGCATTATGAGTATAAAACTACAGGTGGTCCTTGACTTACAACGGAGTTACGTTCCGACGAACCCATTACTACTGTCACTAAATAAATAAATAAACAAATAATTATTGTAACTAACTAACTACCAGTACTTTAAAGTAAATAAATGGATTAAGGACTTGCTGCCTTCATGCTGGGTAATTATCTTAAGTCTATAATTATCTTTAGTTTCATCTCCAAATTGCTTTTGCACCATTGTAACACTGAAATGTCTTAAGTTAAACCACCGTAAGTCAAAGAGCACTTGTATACAAACTGAAGAGAACTCACCCAAGCTGGACAGGTCCTTTGCCTTCCTCAGCAGGCAGGAGGTTCTGCGTGATGCTGCTGTTGGGCTCAGCATCCCTCTGTTCGAGACGGAGGGAAGAAGGTCCCTCGTGCTGTTAGTCAAGCTCAAGACACACACACACACACACACACACACACACAACACCACAACACAGCATGGTAGATGCCAAGCACACCACTCAAGATTTTCACAATGTTTGATGAATGACACATTACAAATACAAATTTTTAAAGTAACACATAACAAATACCAAATTTGACAAGTAACACACAACAAATACCAAACAAGTAACACACAAGAAATAGCAAATATGACAAGTAACATGTAACAAATATAAAGTTTGATTAGTAATACAACACATTACAAATACCAGATTTTACAGCAGTTGACATTACAATTTTGACATTAATTACAATAGGCAGATAGGCACATACACATTAATGACATATTCAGAGTATTATTTACAATACAGTATTTAGATATAGGTTAAGCAATCAAACATTCCAGCAATAATTAGTATTTAAGGTGAGCATTCAATTATAAAATTATATGTTAAATTGCAATGTTATTCAATCTCAGCGGAAATTTTGGTTAAGAACGGCAGATGCGAGCGGATGAGTTGAGGTTTGAGCCATACCGCAGAGCCAGCATCGAAGACCAACGCGCAGGGTAGGGAGGGAGGGGAGGAAATGAGATAATCACAATTAGTATGAATTAAGTCAGTAATATTTACAATCACTTGCTGATAAGTAAACCTCTTAGTTTCCTCAGAAGATATTACTAACCAATTACGTATCCTCAAAAAAAAAAAAAAAAAAAAATTATTGTTACTTTATTTAATAGTAATAGTTTCCCCATGCCAAGTACATTCAGTCTAGTTCAAGTAACTCAATGTGTAATGAAAAATTAAATGGACAGCCTATGAGGCTAATATACAGTATAATACTCACATTTACATAGTATAATTATAAATAATATATATACCGAAAAGTTTTATAGGATTCAGACTTTTTTTTTATATATATATATATCACTGATTGTCAAATCAGCTATACAAGAAATGGTACAGCTCAAACATTCCTGATATTACGTATATATGCAAGCAATCAAAACAGGTAAACCTGTAATGCGATTCAAAGATTTTGCCGAGTGTTAGTGTACATGAGCCACTGTGATACCTCAGTGCCCAAGCCCTAGGCAGCACCTTAGCTGCAACCATAACCAAATGTTTGAACTTAATGCAACCTTAAGGCCATCAATGTCAGATGAAATTTGGAGTAAGGTAAGTTGCAACTGTATGTAAAAAGCAGCATTATAAAATTAAATGACTTTAAAAGAACATCTTACTGGAAACGTGAAAAAATTACAAGTGATTTATTTTAATATATATGTATACGTATATATATACGTATTTATTTTTTCAACAAGTCGGCCGTCTCCCACCGAGGCAGGGTGATCCAAAAAGAAAGAAAATCCCAAAAAGAAAATACATACTTTCATCATCATTCAACACTTTCACTTCAATCATACATAATCACTGTCTTTGCAGAGGCCCCCAGATACAACAGTTTAGAAGCATATATAAAGATATACTATAATATATCCCTCCAAACTGCCAGTATCCCAAACCTCTCCTTTAAAGTGCAGGCATTGTACTTCCCATTTCAGTACTCAAGTCCAGCTATATAAAAATAACCGGTTCCCCTGAATCCCTTCACTAAATATTACCCTGCTCACACTCCAACAGCTCGTCAGGTCCCAAAAACCATTCGCCTCCGTTCACTCCTATCTAACATGCTCATGCACGCTTGCTGAAGTCCAAGCCCCTAGCCCACAAAACCTCCTTTACCCCTTCCGTCCAACCTTATTGAGGACGACCCCTACCCTGCCTTCCTTCCCCTACAGATTTATATGCTCTCCATGTCATTCTACTTTGATCCATTCTCTCTAAATGACCAAACCATCTCAACAACCCCTCTTCAGCCCTCTGACTAATACTATTATTAACTCCACACCTTCTCCTACTTTCCACACTCCAAATTCTCTGCATAATATTTACACCACCTATTGCCCTTAGACAGGACATCTCCACTGCCTCCAACTGCCTCCTCGCTGCAGCATTTACAATCCAAGCTTCACACCCATACAAGAGTGTTGGTACCACTATACTTTCATACATTCCCTTCCTTGCCTCCATAGATAACGTTTTTTGTCTCCACATATACCTCAATGCACCACTCACCTTTTTTCCTTCATCAGTTCTATGGTTAACCTCATCCTTCATAAACCCATCCGCTGACAGGTCAACTCCCAAATAACTGAAAACATTCACTTCTTCCATTCTCCCTCTCTCCAATGTGATATCCAATTTTTCTTTATCTAAATCATTTGATACCCTCATCATTATCTATGTTCACTTTCAACTATCTACCTTTACACACCCAAACTCGTCCACTAACCTTTGCCACTTTTCTTTAGAATCTCCCATAAGCACAGTATCATCAGCAAAAAGTAACTGTGTCAACTCCCATAATTTAATCCCATCCCTCTCCCCAACACCCTAGCATTTACTTCTTTTACAACCCCATCTATAAATATATTAAACAACCATGGTGACGTTACACATCCCTGTCTAAGACCTACTTTTACTGGGAAGTAGTCTCCCCCTCTTCTACACACCCTAACCTGAGCTTCACTATCCTCATAAAAACTCCTTACAGCATTTAGTAACTTACCACCTATTCCATATACTTGCAACATCTGCCACATTGCTTCCCTATCCACTCTATCATATGCCTTTTCTAAATCCATAAATGCAATAAAAACTTCCCTACCTTTATCTAAACACTGTTCACATATATGCTTCAATGTAAACACTTGACCTACACATCCCCTACCCACTCTAAAACCTCCTTGCTCATCTGCAATCCTACATTCTGTCTTGCCTCTAATTCTTTCAATAATAACCCTACCATACACTTTTCCTGGTATACTCAGTAAACTTATTCCTCTATAATTTTTACAATCTCTTTTGTCTCTCTTCCCTTATATAAAGGTATTATACATGCTCTCTGCCAATCCCTGGGTACCTTCCCCTCTTTCTAACATTTATTAAACAAAAATACCAACCACTCCAATACTATATAACCCCCTGCTTTTAACATTTCTGTCGTGATCCCATCAGTTTCAGCTGCTTTACCCCCTTTCATTTTACGTAATGCCTCACACACCTCCCCCACACTTACATCCTGCTCTTTTTCACTCCTAAAAGATGTTATACCTCCCTGGCCAGTGCATGAAATTACCACCTCCCTTCCTTCATCGACATTTAAAAGTTCCTCAAAATATTCCTGCCATCTACCCAATACCTCCAGCTCCCCATCTACTAACTCTCCTACTCTGTTTTTAAATGACAAATCCATTCGTTCCCTAGGCTTTCTTGACTTGTTTATCTCACCCCAAATTTTTTTTCTTATTTTCATCAAAATTTCTTGACAGTGTCTCTCCCAGTCTATCATTTGCTCTCCTTTTGCACTCTCTCACCACTCTCTTCACCTTTCTTTTACTCTCCATATACATTCTCTGCTCTTCTTATAACACTTCTGCAGGCCACTTGCAGAGGTCACAGGACCAAACTGTTTGTGACTCCTTTCTTTGGGGGTACGTGAAGAGCACAGTTTACGTACCACCACTACCTGCAACCCTGGAGGAGCTGAAAATTTCGATCACTGAAGCAGTTCGCATGATAACACCAGATATGCTGCAGAGCATCTGGACCAAACTGGACTATCGCATCGATGTTTGCCGAGCAACCATAGGGGTGCACATTGAGTGCCTTTAATGCTAACCTATACCACATGAAACTGAATGAAATCCTGCATCTGAAGCTACTAACTGTGAAAGATTATTACAACAAAGTTACATGTTATACCTGTTTGAAATCAGAGAGTGTTTTTGTGGACACCCTGTATATCTTGGTAAAAATCTAAAAATTACAGTACAGTAAAACAAAATTTGACAGAGCAGAGGTAGTGTTTTTCCACAATTAATGAGACCTGGATTTGTGTTAATTTAACCCAGCATGCTGAGCCATGAACAATACTGATTCCTTTTTGAAAAAAATATGTACACTAGTACAGTAATATCTCTTATTTGAAAAATGCATGGGCAAAGAATTCTAAATTAAAGACAACTGTGAATAGCACAAAATTCTGAATACAGTGATAATAATCAGATGTCTCTCATATATATTTACACAAAATCATTCCGAACAAGAATTATATACAGTGGTCCCTCAATAATCGTCCGGCCTGAAAGTCATCCATTTCGGAAATAGTCACGTTATTTCGTCTAAACACTGGCTCGCAAATGGTCCATTAACTCACTAATCATCTTTCGTCCGGGACGTGTACTCACGGCTCTGAGCCGCCTCGGCCTCCCTTCCCAGCCAGTGTGCCATTGTTTACCAGCGAGCAACGGTCCCCTCACGTGTTCATACGAAATATTTCATAATATTCCATTTCAAACTTTAAAAAACTCTACACCAAAGCAATGTTTGAAAGGTGCTTTAATGTGACCTCAGACACTCGCTTGACCCTAAGAGATTTTTGGAAAGAATACTTCAGTATTCTCCATTGCATAAGCCTTATGGGTAAGGCTTGGGAGGGAGTGGCTACCAGGACTTTGAACTCTCCTTGGAGAAAATTGTGGCCAGACTGTGTCCACAAGAGGGATTTTGAAGGGCTTGTGGCTGACCCTGATGAGCCTATGTCAGTTGTGAACTCTATTGCAGTATTGGGGAGTTCCATGGGGTTGGATGTGAGTTTGGAGGATGTGGAAGAGTTGGTGGAGGACCACAACGAAGAGCTAACCACTGAGGAGCTGCAAGAGCTTCAGCAGGAAGAGCAACAGATCGCAGCTCAGAATCTTGCTGCAAAGGAGGAGGAAGAGAGATGGAAGAAGGTGCCTTCTTCAGAAATTAAGGAGATTTTTGAAATGTGGGGTAGGATGGAAAGATTTATGGAGAAACATCACCCTGAGAAGGATGTTGCAAGCCATATCGGCAACTTGTACAGTGACAGTCTTGGCCCA